ACTGGAATCTGATTTGTTCTCTCCCACAGTACGTTGTTGCTGATAGTGTCTGGCCAACGAATCCAAAGTATTTCACAAAGACAGCTGTTAATAAACACTTGTATCCTATGGAGAGAAGGGGATAGTTATCATGAAATTGCATAACAATAACCTATTTGTACTTTTACATTTTGGTATGATAAACAAAACGGAAGAAAATAAATACACTTTTCTTTTATAAATCACAAAAGGAATTATCACAAACAATAAATTTAAGAAATTATTTCACCATGTAAGGATTTACAAATAACAATTCAACTTAAGAAAACACAATAATCATCGATATGTTCATTTAACTAAGTAGTTAGCTTAATAGCTTTCTTAAATAAATATCGTTGAGAATAACTGTTAGTGTTTCGGCGATAAATTTCATGTGAATTTTCAATTGTACATTGAAATAGTGTACACCTCTTGCCCTTAAATCATGAATGATCACCAGTCGTCTATGCAGTAAACTGTCTACTAATTGTGATGTTTCATTTTTGATGTCATCAGTCAAATGTACACGATGAATAAATTCAATGATTATTTAAAATTCTGCATAGTCTAATTCACATTATCATTAGTTATGAGAACTCATGTACCGCTTAAATTTTCACGCATAATGCATGCTGATAATTTAAAAGAAATCAACTCTATGCGAGTAAAAAGCAGTGCAAGACACTTTGCTTTTCATTTGTAACCATGAATCGCTCAATGTTAGACCACCATTAGAAACCTGGAAGCACTGAATGACGGCCGTTTCGTCCTGATATGGGACTCATCAGCAATGCGCATCCACGACTCCTGCACCCCGCAGGATTCGGTATTGTGCGCGAACGCCCTAACCGTTAGACCACTGAGCCGATATTTAACGGTGTTAATGTCTAACTTGATCAAATTCACGGAGTTGCGCAACCTCATACACTGTATACATCCGAACAGGTTTACTTTTCAATTATTCATCTTCCAATAAGAAAATAATATTCTATTTTATACTGATGAAATTCTTGATTACATTACATTTTCATTTTTTCCAAAAAAAATAAACAAAATTTTCTAATTTGATAAAGAATTTCATGTTGACTTATCATTTTTATTTATTTAATAAAACTGTCATGATATATTCAATTCAATGCATATTCATCATCATCCAAAGAGATTACTGATAAGCAGATGGTCAGTTATTACTACTGATAGATAGTTCAGAGATAAAAATTACCATTTCTCATCATTATCATCATCATAGAAAAAATGTTTATCAATGATTGAAAAAATTACATTGTCAATTATGTACGGATGCGCATGCACAGTTGACCTGATATTCGATATCAGCAAATCACAACTTTAATCCCCAGGTGTAGAGAGAGAATGAAAAATTAATTATTAGATTTTATTGTACAATAAAATTATCATTCACTTTTCCCAATATAAACGTAGATAGAATACACATTTTTGAAACCATGAATGTTAGACCACCATTAGAAACGTCGAAGAACTGGACGGTCGTTTCATCCTAGTATGGGACTCATCATCAGCAGTGCGCATCCACGACTCCTACACTTCGTAGGATTCGAACCCAGGACCTTCGGTATTGTAGGCGAACGCCTAACTATCGGACCACTGGGCCGGTATCTGATGGTGGTAATGTCTAACTTAATCAATTCACGGAGTTGCACAACCTCATACACCGTCTTCGGTAGTTACTGTCTACAGCCAAACAGGTTGAACTTCACAGGTCACATCTTCCCACTAGAACTCGCAGAAGATTCCACACGAAGCTAGTCACTAGTACATAGAATAGATATGTACATATAGTTTTTTTCGCTACAAAATACAATATTCTACATTTGATTGTGATTTTGTTTCACAATTTTTACATGTCATTGTTTCAACAACAAGCAAATAAAAAGATTTCTAATTTCAAAACGATGAAATTATAGCAAACCAACAAAAACAGATGACTGTTAAAATGTACATATGTACAAAAACTACACACCAACATAGTTAGCTTATTAGAATGTGTTTAATTACGGTTTATTTTGCATTTTCAAAATAAAAAAAGTAAAACAATTTATACCAGCATTGTATTGGTTAATGCATCAAATGTTTTAAACAATAGATTCAATGAGGAAATGTCAACGAATTGATAAAATGTAATATCATCGTGATTTCGTTTGTTAGTAGGTATGCAATATAAGCGGACAAAATAAAATATTACTATTATATCATAAACTTTAGGAGTTATTATTGTAAATTTCTTACCATTTTTGAAGTTCATTGAATAAGGAAAAATATTAAAAAAATTCAATTGTATGAATTAAAAACTCAACAAATAAGTGAATAATATTATTTTCAGTTGGACTGTCATAAATATTTATTGAAATCATGAGTCTATTAATTTTAGACTACTCTTGAAAACCTGGAAGTATTGGGTGGCCGTTTCGTTCTGCTACGGGGCTCATTAGCAGTGCGTATGCAAGACTTCAGCACCTCGCGGGATTTGAACCCAGGACATTCGGTCTTGAATGCGAATGCCTAACATCTGGACCAATGAGCCGGTATCTAGCGGCGTAAATGTCTGACATCGGTGATGAGTACCATGCGAGGACGAAACGGCCATCCAGCGTTTCTAATAGTGATATTAATTTGATCAATTCATGATTTCAATGAGTAACTTAACAATTCGCACAACCCTTTGATGCACTAAATATTTATGTATACTTAATATGATGATTGCATCAACTATTTAACTAAACGTACATAAAAGAGGCTGCTGTTTTACTCATCAAGTCTTGAATATCCTGAAGATAATCTACTTACTAATAAGTAAAATTAGTTTGTATAAATACTAGACAAATACTGTCTATGCATGTTTGCAACTCCCTACTGTTGTGTACACGCACACACACACACAAATTGTCTTTCATTGATTACCACCAAATCAAAAAGGTTCAGTGACTTAAAAAAATTTTTAAAGTTTTCAACACGCTGCCACTTTGTATTACAGTAAGAATCTTTGCTTACTTACTAACGCCTGTTACCCATAATGGACCAGTGAATTATTTTTCTGGTTAGTGTTTTTTTAGCTTGTTGGATTTTTATAAGGGATAGGGTCTCTGAGTCTATGCCCAATCCTTCTCCTTTATCCGGGTTTGGGATCGGCAGTAACTCTAGAAGGGCTCCAGGCGAAGTTAGTAAGAACCATATCAGTTATTAATATGAAATTTCAGTTTAATTATATTTTTCAATTAGAGTTATGAAGATTATTGTTTTTACACATTGAAATCATCAATCAATCATTGTTAGACCACCATTAGAAACTTGAAAGCACTGAAAGACGGTCGTTTCGTCCTGGTATGGGACTCATCAGTAGTGCGCATCCGCGACTACTGCACCTTGCAGGATTTGAACCCAGGACGTTAGGTTCTGCGCGCGAACGCCCATCCTCTGGACCACCGGGCTGGCCTCTGACGGTGTTAATGTCTAACTCTGATTGATCTGGAAATCAATACAAAATCATTAGAATATATCAAATAAACGGTAAATAAATTCTTTAGCTAACTCTCAATACATATCACAGACAATGGAAAACATATACAAAAATGATTTACTTTGATAAAAACAATATCAAAACATCTATTTTCATTCATATTACAAAACCAATTTGTTTCTTTATTAAAGTACTGTTTATTTCACTTTTGTTAGCTCACATGATTACAAAATTGAAGCTTCATAAAAATAAATACTGCTTTTCATCAATTAAAACAAAACGTTTACCTTCGCTTAATGAAAACAAGTGACATTAACAGGTTGTAAAATAAACCAAGAACAAAAAAAACAATGCATTGTAAAGTACTTTGTTTTATTGTACAATGTTTAGCGAATCATGAACAAATAATTTTATTTATTTGTGTTCTGTTTATAGAAAATAATTTCTTTTGCTTTTTTTTTATAAAAACTAATTGTGCTGTACACTTGTTGTGTAATAAAGTAAATTTTTTTCAATGTGATCACACTGTGCACCTGATGTGTTACAGTTAACAGAAAAATTAGGATGGGTAATTAGGTTTAGTTAATATGTATTTATCGGTAGTGTTGTCAGTAATAACGTACTGACTAGGAGGTCAGGTCCTGTTATTCTTTTTGGAGAATACGATTTCAAACAGTTTCTATATTGCAGTAAAATCTAAAAATCTTATATTAAATATTAGAATTAAAAGAAATCAAGGTTGTGAATTTCATGTTGACTAACCTCGAATTTGTGATCACGAATATGACTGTAAAGACGATCAATACGTTAGTGTCGTAATTTGAATGACACTGATTATGGTTATTGATATGTGTTTACTATGACAATGGAATTTTCACTACATGTCACTTATTGCAATGAAACAAGAGCAGGAACGATAACAAAACTATGGAAGAATACCTACGCTACTTATAAGTAGTATATGACGTGAGTGTCAACGTAATGTCTGGCAGCAGAAGATGGGGGAAGATCAAGAAAGGAAGAGTGGGAACACAATGGAATTTGTATGAAACACATGAATAGTGAAATGTCAGACAATGGATTGATGATGGATTGAAGATTTGCAAATGAACGATTTACGATATGGTTTTCCTATTTTACTGAGTAACTCTGTAATTTTCGTTAAATACAATTCGTTTGCCCTCACCTGTGTTCTCCTTCACTACATACCAACTTATTCACCAACGATTAGTTAAACACCGTCCACAATAATAATAATAATTAACAAAATGGTGTGTCATTTTAAAGCTCAAGTCAATTAAATAAATTTTAATGAACTGAGTTAGCAGTTAATCAGTAACCTAATATAATATGTGTGTTGACACTTTTCATAATCAATATATACATATTCGTTGACTTAACCGAGAAATGTGCGTGATATAAGCGCGAATTTATCTTTTTTCTTTTCAAACATTAATCACATTTTCAAATATTGACTATTTTTATTTAGTTAATGAACTGGAAATTAAGCTCATCTGGTATGAATCCAGCGACAGAAAGTTTTCTCATTGTACATCGTTTTGGTTCGGTAAGTTAGACAGATTTTCTTTTTTTTTTGTTTTAAAGTGAACATTTGTTTGAAATAAAATGGTTTGTTTTGTTTCAGTGATTCAATTGAATGCAATAATTAATACAATGTTTGTTTGTTTGTCATTTTGATGTATGATTAAGACCCTTGAAATTTGAATACAATATGATTGTGAATTATGTATGATTGTGAGTAGTATATAAAAAGTAAAAAAAAGTTTTCTATTCTGTCCAGGTAATTTGTTCAGAAGAATTTTCATTTAAGTATTTTAATAGTCTAACATAGAGAGAGAGATAATTCTTACTGAAAATGACTAGTAAACATGTAGCTAACTAATAAATAGTTTCCTCAAGTTATATTAGAATACATTCGCGTTATTTCCAACTTTTAATAGGTTTGAGATGCTGGAGCTGCTAGCTAGCTTGCTAACTAACTAACTAACTGACTAACTAACTAAAAGAAAGTTGTTGGCTGTTAGTTTATTTTATGAAATAACTTTTGCTTAGAAAACATTCAAATACTAGGACAGCATTCAGGTGAAATTCGTCAGTTATATAAACTGTTAGTGACTTTTCACAATATATGGTATCATTTGGCTCGTTGTTCAAGCTCGACAGTTCAGTACATGATATTGTTTTTAAGAATGGAAACAATTGTTTCAGGTCAATTCGGAGCTAAGCATCGAAATCATAACCCTAACTCTGCAAAATTGAACTTGGAAGCCATCAGACTATAAGACCTCTACAAAACTAATAATTACAATAAAAACACTAAAATCAACGATGAAGCAGTTTCCTTATTAATTTGCCTCGTGCAAAGTCATTCACATAGAAAATCAGATAGTAGTTAGATTTCATAAGAAGTCAATCACAGTACTTGTAGCTATATTCAAATATCATCAACATGTTCAACCGGTGGAATTATCAATTGAAGAACATTACTGCATACTGATATCAATCTATCTTCGATTACCGATTAACCAAGTGTTTGATTCTTATGAGAATTTTGTACAGTACTAATGTTTGCTCAAATGAACTTAAACACAATTGTAATGGTAATTTTTTGATATGGTTAAAAATCAAAAAATAGGAAATTTGCAATTTACGGTTGTGAAATTGTTAAGTATCTTTGAAATCATGAAGTAATCATTGTCGGAGGGCAGCCGTTTCGTCTCAACATTTGGCTCTTCAGCAGTGTGTATACATGACTGTTGCTCGTGGGAATCTGTTGAGGATGTTAGATCCGCAGAACTCGCTTTATAAATGCCTTATTTTGGATTTTATGTTTCCAAGCATGTGCTGATCAGTTGACCTCGAGATTTCATTCCACACCAGGAAAATCCTTTGTTGTGATTGGCTGCTGTGTATTTTAGTGTGCTATTTTCGTAACTTTCCCAAGGACGTTTCTATGATGTATAAATAAACGAGAGTTGTGTGCTTGATTGCAGTTGTGATTGCTGGGTGTTTGTAGAATATACTTTCTACGCTTACCATGTCCGCTGTTTTTGCAGTTCGGGATTCAAGGTAGCCTACCTCAATGCTGGTTCATTGTCTCGTTCTCGTTTATCGACTAAGGTGAACCCGTAATAGCTTTAAGCGTACCAAGTGACGAACATAACTGAATCAAACTCAAGACCTTAGGTTTTGCGCGTGAACGCTTAACCTCTAGACCATTGAGCCAGTATGCAACGGTTTAATATCTAACTTCCTTCAATCCATGGTCTAGCACAACTTCATCCATTGTCTTTGGTGGGCAGCATCGCTTCCCTCCTGACAGGGTTGACCTCCACTGGTCACTAAATAGGAAATTACAGAAAGAAAGAAACATAAACATGCATCATCACATTAGTTTACAGAGATCTGTATACTATGAAGCTTATTTTTTAATGTTGTTTAGTGTGCGTTGGATTTCAATAATGCACAACACTTAATTTATAATTGAGAGAACAGAAATGTCCAAAGGCGAAAGTATATTTGTTGCAAACAAATTCTTGCTGAAAGTTATATATATATATATTCAACTACTTTCATATCGAACTGTCGGTAATAATTATTGATACGTAATCGACCAATCTTGGATCACCATTAGAAACCTGGAAGGACTAGACGGCCGTTTCGTCTTGGTATGCGACTCATCATTAGGTTGAGCAAGACCGTGAATCGATCGAAGCTAGACATCAACACTGTTACACAGAGGCCCAGTGGTCCAGAAGTTAGGCGTTCGCGCAATCTTACAAGGTACAGGGATTGTGGAAGTGCACTGTTGATGAGTCCCATACCAGGAAGAAACGGCTGTCTTTCACTGCTTCTAGGTTTTTAATAGTGGTCTAATATCGATCAATCCATGATTTCAAATGTGTATTTTAACGATCTTCACAACCCCGTAATGTAATTATACTTAATTTGTAAAGAATATTAATCTATCATTACTTTGTATCACAAAAAAAACTGTGACACTAAAACATAATCTTATATATGTTTAGAATATCAATTAGAAAAAAACCTTTCAAAGTTTAAAACTAAATTCCTCCAAGAAAAAAATAACCATTAAAAAGAGTTTAAAAAACTTTACCACCAATTTTCAACTTTCATTTACTTACTGACACTTTTTTGTTTCAATTGTTCATAAACAATAAAATTTTACCTGGTTGACCCTACTCTTAACCCTAGAGATAAAAACGTTTTTTTGTTAATGAAACAAAACAATTTATTTATTGAACCACACTGTACTATTGTGATAAAGCAAAAATAGAAGATTAAAACATTTTAATGAAAATCTAGGTCATTATGAATAGGTATATTATTGTAAACTATTTGCCCAAATATATGCATATATATATATATATATATATATATATATATATATATATACATATATATATGCATTACGGGGTTGTGAAGATTGTTAAGTTACACATTTTTGAAAGCATGAATCGATCGATGTTAGACCACCATTAGAAACCTGGAAGCACTGGACGGTCGTTTCGTCCTGGTGTGGGACTCTTCAGCAGTGCGCATCCACGACCCCTACACCCTGCAGGATTCGAACCCAGGACCTTCGGTGTTGTGCGCCAACGCCCCAACCGTAAGACCACTGAGCCGGTGTCTGACGATGTTAATGTCTAACTTGATCAAATTCACGCGCACAATACCGAAGGTCCTGGGTTTGAACCCTGCGGGGTGCAGGAGTCGTGGATGCGCAGTGCTGAAGAGTCCCATACCAGGACGAAACGGCCGTAATGCAGTGCTTCCAGGTTTCTAATGGTGGTCTGATATATATATATATATATATATATATATATATATATATACGTGATACTTATGTGAAACTATTTCAAATAAATTGAAACATTGAACATCTGGATTTGTTTATTTGTATTATGTCAATATATTACTTTTTTTAAAATTTCACGCAAGAGATATAAATTATTGAGTAGAGATTAAGTAATTGGTTTTCTTTCTCCCTTTGTTTTCCTTAGTTAAACAAAATAGATTTTTTCTCTCTCACTTTTGTCTTGATTCGAACAAAAAAAAAGTTACATTTGTTATTGTTTAAATTGATAAATCTATTTTTTTTCATGATTTATTTCATATCTTGTTGACAAAAATTAAAAAACCTTGTAACTGTTTATTTCATGTTAAGTATTGCCGACAGAAACCTTGTATGAACTGTTCAAATATGGCTAGTGTTACCTTGTATGGTTTTCAGTTTAGCAGGAGTCTGTAATAGGTACGATTGACTAAGTCAAAATTATAGAATCACACTAGTCAATCAGTTTTTAGAAATAGTCTCTTGATATCATGAAATTAATAATTTCAGAATTTCTTGTCATTAAGCGGGACATTAAAAGAAAAAACACTAGTTTTTCACTCAACGTAAGTAACCGAAAAATTAAGCGCGAACATCAGTTCATGCGGTAAATAACTAATGCGCAAAACGGTGCTGGCAGATGTGAACTGATTAGCTTCATTGATATTTGACGTGCAAATGCATTCCAGTTATACTAGGTTGATTGTGAATAAGGTTTAAGTTCAAATCATTTCGTAAACTTATTATTAATCCAGGTGGTAAAGGTTAAATGTATTGTTTTGAAATAGTTGAGTTTTCAAACATTACTTATTAAAAAAGTAAAAGCAAAGTAAAGCGAAGCGAAGCGGAGTGAAGTGAAGCAGGTGAGTAAAACAACTCAATGAGATTAGGCATAACTAAGTATTTATAGCTAGACGAAACTAAGCTAGATATTTATTAAACAAAGTAAACAATCCGAACATACTCAAATAAAGGCAACTAAGATTATGAGCGAATAACTGACAAGGCTGGTTGACCTGTGAATGGCAACTCGAACATAAAAAGTCAATTAATATTTGCCCAAAAGCTAGGACGTAACATTGGGACTCAACATATTAGTACAGACACTACAATGAAAAATATGGAAATTCTTAACATAATTTTTAAAAAGTTAAGAATTTAAAAGAATTTTGAAAGCCATGTTTTTAAAATCAGCATACATAAACTTTAACAAACTAAAAATAACTTTTATAATAGATGGTAATTCAATGATAATTAACTGAAGGTCAGTTATTAGTTATGACCTTAGTGGTTGTTAGTATCTATAAAATGCCAATAAAACACGATGTTTTATTTATATTCTATAGCTCTGAAAATGAATTCACAGTAAAGTGAACTCTTTTCAGAACCAATCTTTCTTAGTATACAATAGTAATAATGCCGTACTGCTTTCATCCTGCCTAGTTTACACATGAAAACTGTCAGTGTTTATATATACATAGATTTGGAAAATTATTTAATTATTGGGATTTTGAGGCTTCCTTAACTTGTGAATAAAATAACTCCTCATTGTACAAAATAGAACGTGATCATTTCATATGGAATAGATTTAATGTGATCATATAAATTGATTCCTTATACCCTGTTAGCAGTTACGAAAACTGACCGCCCATCAAACAGTTCAATAACCTAAAGTTTCCAAAACATACACTAATTAAATATCCCAAACTAGAAGGGAATCGATATGTCAACTTCTGATGTGAATAGTTTTTAAAATCAATCAAATCGTTATAAAACACTTGCACTTACCCTTAGATCAGCAAGTGCTAAAAAAACTGAACGAATATCTATTGATAAATCTTAGAAAATTTCATCGTTTTGTTCAGATTATTCTCAGTTTTCTCTTTCCGATCAAAAATTAATTTACAAGACATGTAAGAAGAAAAGTCACTTATATGTCATAGTTATGATGATGTTTGATAGATATTTAATTTACCGTTCGATCTAAGTAGAATGTTCAATAAACTCTACAAAATTACTACTTACAAAACATCACCTGACATAAAGCTATTTGAAGACAATATGTCTGCCAGAAGTTTAGCTTCGATATTATATCATTATTTGAACGTACTAACACAATTGCAAACACCCGTAAAATTGTCCTTGTTATCATGTTCATAATACGGGATAAGCATTTACATTTTCCATAATACACTGTCATAATTTTTGAAATTTCTTCATTTTCATTTGCACTGTATTCTTCTAGGTTGTTGAAACAGATAGTGAAGTGGAGTTGCGTAATGCTGTTGAAAGTTTTCGTCAAAATTTACGTCATTCAATTAATCCGAAAAATTTAAATAAATTTATCACATCCTATATGCAGTAAGTTTTATTTCATTACAAAAAAATTGCTATTTTTTAATTACTCACGAAAACATTTCCTTGCTCACTATAATTTTTTTTGCGCCAAATGTATATATATATATATATATATATATATATATACATTCAATAGAGTGTATTTGAAAAATCACTGGGAAGAAAGGCAAACGACTTATTTGATATAAAGTTGTAGAACCAAAGGACTAACTGATTAAATTTTATTTCTAACCATGTGAAAATAATTAGTTTGTATGAAAATCATAGACATGGGACAGCCGAGTAAACTTACAAGAAACGCAAAATGGTAAAAGCCAGTCGGGATATCTATATCCGGGCCGAGATTTCGTCACACACCAGACCATCAACAGACCTACAAGACTAGCAGGATAAGTGATGCAGTCAACAAGCTCAAAAAAATGATTCATTCATTTCTCATAAATTTTTCTTTTAAGAAACACCAAAAATAAATGCTTGTTTTTTCGTTAAAATTTATTATTGTGAACAAAATTATTTTATAAAAATTGAAAATAGTTAAATATTTTGATAAATAAATTGAATTATTGTTCAATGACCGTAAAAATTCATAAATAAAATATAAATAAATAATAAATTGTCACATTTTGCGGTAGCAGTCAATAAATTTAATTAACAAATAAAAATAAATTATATTTTTTTCTAAAAAAATATATCTATCATTAATAGTTTATTAATTAAAAAGTTAGTTAGTTAGTTTGAAATTCAATAGTGAAACATTCAAGAGGTTGAAACTTGTTGATTGGTAATTTTTTACTATTCTATTATATTTTATAATAATCCTGTATTAATGCTTGACAAGATTTGACCAGTTGTAAGGTGATTATATATTGTTAGGATATTCAACAATTATCCTAATAGAATTATTTTCGGAAGTCTAATTCTATTGGTCAATTCCCAATGGTCAATATTATGGTCGTCCTAACTGTCAATGTCACATACTTCAGTGTTGTTTCCTATTCAACCTAATTGTATAAATACGCATTATCTGTAACGTTTTATGACCCGGACCCGGATCCCTGGTCCGGGATCCTGATTCTCTTCCGGATGCTTGTAGGATACATGTTCTACTTTATATCAAATCTTCTTCTTTTACTCGATGGGGGTTTGAGACAATCGGATAAGAGTAGCGTTTCATGTCACCGGATCCTTAATCCTCGCTCTCGTGTTCCGACTAAGGTAAACTCGTAATAGTTCAAGCATATCAATTCACATGTTGACGTTCATGTGTAACATATTTGAAGTTAATTATTGTCAAATACGAACTAACAGATATTTAATTCTTATAAGAAACACCATTCGCATTCCTGACGCATTACTAGCTTACTTGTTCTTGCTAATCCTCTTGAAACATGAGCCACTAGCAAGGATTCTCCAACCATACATTAGAGTAATAACTGCAGATCGATGGCTTTTTCCTAATTTACTCTACTGAATTAACTTCGACTGTAATCTCACACTGGTTCTTATTAGGAGTCCACCTCAATGCCATATCTGATAGAGCTGCTTCTGTTATGATTGTCTAATTGAAATATGCTTTAAATTCGATGATTCTTAAGCTCTCACGATGATGACTGAAACATAAATCCCTTATCCTATTTCATACACAGTGACCATAAATATCAATCAGGGAACGTTTTGGAATTAATCTATTTCAGGCTTCCTTATGCGAGCAAAGATATGGTCAAAAGGGAATCGATGTATTTAGTTTGATATTTGACTGTTGTTAGTCAAACGACCAGTTAGATATGAGTCAGCTTTTATGTCAGACGAGGAATGTATCAAATATTATCAAATTGATAGGTGAAAAATCATTCACATAAGCAAACACAAACACATCAATGTTCAATTTAAACATTGTATACTTGACAAAGAAAAATACACGAACATATGTAGTCGGAATCCAGTAATGATTAGAATAAGTAGTATGTACAAAATTGGAAAACAATTCATCCAGGCTTCAATGCCATTAAAACATTTTCATTTAAGCCAATCAAATTGATAATCACTATTCACTGAATATATACATTGTAATTAAAATAAACTAGAAGAGAATAGTATTTCCAATTAGATTTATGGAGATTAGTGTCTTTACACATTTGAAATTGTCAATCAATCATTTTTATTAGACCACCATTAGAAACCTGAAAGCATTGAAAGATGGCCGTTTCGTCCTGGTATGAGACTCGTCACAGTTAGATATTAACACTGTCGAGTCCGGTCTCAGTGGTTCACGCACAAGACCAAAGGTCCTAGGTTCGAATCCTGCGAGATGCAGGAGTGGTGGATGCCCACTGCTGATGAGTTCCATACCCGGACGAAACGGCCATCTTTCAGTGCTCTCAGGTTTCTAATGGTGGTCTAACAATGATTGATTGATGATTTCAAATGTGTAAGAACAATACTTATTTGGTGAAAATGAACAACCATTGAGAACAATAAGTAAATCAATAAACATTTAGATTCATAATGTATGCCTAAGATTATCTGTTTCGATTTACTTTAGCATAGTTTTGTTTTACAATGAATTTCAAATAATGTTTAGTTCTTGTGCGATAATATAGACAGAAACATTTGATAATTATTAGGGACTGAATTATTTAGATGGAAATAGATATTCTTTGTCTTGTGTATTCAGCCTTGTGTAAATTCAGTCAATCTATTATCACATAAAGACTGTATAGCATGGGGGAACGTTTTTTTTACTTTTTCCAACATTGAAGCATTACACGTAAAAATGATTGTGGTGGTGTTTCGTTCTCTGAGCTGGATGTTGTTTTGGTTGTGGAGCTTTCATTGTTCGTCTACTGAACAACATCATTATCTCAAACTTCAGATCAAGAAGTGAAGAATTCGAATTTCTGCACGTCTGACCCGTAGCTTCTTCTGTTAACCTCGATCTTGATTGGTCGCTGTTGACCTTAAACCTATCGTTGTTTCCACACCTACGGGTCAAACGTGGAGAACATTGAATGCTTCACTTCTATCTGAAGTTTGTGATGATGATGTTGTTCAGTAGAAGGACAATGAAAGCTTCACAACCAAAACAACAACAACCGAAACACTACAACAATCATCCACCTGAGTTACGAATTTTATTCACCATCTCAAAGTAAAAAAAAATCAAGAATTCACAGGAGAAAAATTAATGTTTCGATAACAGATAGCTTTGGATCAATCTAAGTATTCATTTAAGGTAACAAAAGTCTGAAAACAACGATATTCGTTCAATTTGTTCATTAAATAATAAAAATAAACTGAACATTCTTTGTACTAAAGATGGTATTGTAATGACCGCTTTCGGAAAAAATTAATGCAGAATCTTATTTGGAACCAAATGGGGTTGTCAGCCATTGAAACAGCTTTCAAAAATAACATCAATAAATTCATCAACATACAAATTGTTTGTTGGGGATGTCAGATCCCCAAAGTTCGCTTGATAATGCCTTATTTTGCTTTTCACGTTTGCCAGCATGGGCTGATCAGTTGACCTTGAGATTTCAATTCCCACCAGGAAAATCCATGGCTGTGATTGGCTGCTGTGTATTTTAGTGTGCTATTTTCGTAACTTTCCCAAGGACGTTTCTATGATGTATAAATAAACGAGAGTTGTATGCTTGATTGTGCATTGTGTTTGCTTGGTGTTTGTAGAATATACTTTCTACGCTCACAAAGCCATTTCACTTCAGCCTCGGATTCAAGGTAGCCTACCTGGACGCAGGTAATAGTCTCGTTCGCGTTTATCGACTAAGGTAAACTCGTAATAGCCTCAGCATACTAAGTGACGAAGTTATCATTGTTAATTAAAGTATACAGCAAGTATACTGTTTGTTAATCGGATCCTTTACACTTTTAGAGAAATGAATTCTGAGATGTTGAAGAAAATTTGTAGCTCATGTGGATGATTGTGGTGGTGTTTCGTACTCTCAGCTGGATGTTGTTTTGGTTTTGAAGCTTTCATTGTTCTTCTGCTATTCTTCTGCTTATTCTGTTAACCTACGAGTCAAACGTGGAGAAATTCGAATTCTTCACTTGTCAGTCTGAAGTTTGTGCCAATGATGTTGTGTTCATCAGAAGGACAATCAAACCTCCACAATCAAAACAACATCCAGCTCACAAAGAACAAAGCACCACTACAGAAATGAATACATCGATAAAAATCAGACTCTTGATCAAAAAAAAATAGTTTGATTACATTAACAAGACAACAAAACATATATTCCCAATTCATCATAAGTTTTCAATCATTAGCCTAATTAAGTTAATTATGATTATTATTATTATGATTAACTTGAAAATACTCTTCATTATTGAACAAATGGAGTAAACAAATATATTTATATATTGATTGATTTAATATGCATTAATTAATGAAATAGCTTTTTTATTGTTATTGAATAATTTCCTGCCCTATTATTGGGGAAAAAACATTCTTTTATATATAAAAAAAATATAATTTTATGTTTAAAATGACTTAATATTTCAACTAAAAAATTAAAACAATTAAATTTTAATAACAATAATAATAATAATAATTATTGTTTTTTGCTCTCCATCTGAATGCTACCTTTTCTTCTTATTGTTATTTTATTCATACAAACTTAATTATTTAATTAATTAATTAATTATAATGCATAATCAAAGTAACTAAATGTTTATTTCCTAATTTAATCTAACAAAAAATGTCAATTATTTTATGAATTGCTTTTTTCTTATGTACGTACCTAGTTAAAGAGGCTATATTCAATTACTTAATTTGTTTTTATGATGACTAAGTAATGACATAGATATATTTGATTTATGAAAATATACATTTGAAACCATCAATCAATCATTGTTAGACCACCATTAGAAATCTGGAAGCAACGAAAGATGGCTGTTTTGTTCTGGTACGGGACTAATCAGCAGGGCGCATCCATGACATCTGCACCTCGCACGATTCGAACCCGGGACTTTAGGTCTTTCCCTCGAACATCTGACCTCTGTATCACTGGGTCATCATCCAACGGTGTTAATGTCTAATTCTGATCAATCTACGGATTTTGTGCGACCTTACCCGTTTGATTGATCCGAGTTAGACATTAATACTTTCGGATGTCAGCCCAGTGGTTCAGAGGTTAGGCATTCGTATGCAAGACCGAATGTCTCGGGTTTGAATCGTGCGAGGTGCAGGTGTTGTGGGTGCGCACTGCTGACGAGTCCCATACCAGAACGAAACGTCCGTTTTTCAGTGGAACAGTTCCTGTGATTGATTTATCATGAATATTTAACTTACCTTTAATCATTCATAAACGGTGATTCATTTCGATGCGTATCATCGCGTTTATCAATTTCATGTGACGTAGCCACATGACATTCACAGGGTTCGGCTGTTTGTTAAGCTAAAGGCCTAGCTACCAGCGCCTATTCTAAATTTGGTTGATTTGTCAGTAAAGTATATTTTTATCATTTTATTTTCAAATGATAAGTAAATTTTACACCGATCTGATATCAACTTCAATAAAAAAAATCAAAGAAGTTTACAAAAATCATTTTATTCTGATCAAGGATTTTTTTGTAAATAAATTTTGACTAAACTTATACATTTATAAGAGTATAATAACAAGACAAACAAGGGAAAAAACGAATACAACAATCTATACAGATATTGAATCGATGCTAAATTCACAGGTCATAAATTCATACATAAATAGAAGTGAAGTTTTAAATGGTTCGTTGAATACCATTTCCTAACTAATGAATATTTTTCTGTCGATTATATAAACAAGATATATATGTAAGGAATTTCCACATAATCATTGCAGCAGTGATATCAAAATCAACCCACAAACTTAGATGTGATAATAGACTATTAAACAGAAGGATATTTTTCATGTTCTGATATTTGACCAATATTTATAATGACATAAAATTTTGTTTAAATGGATTCTTCCTCCTTATATACCACACATTGATTAATTTTTTCTATTTGTAGACGTAAAAATCTTTCCGAAAGTCTTCCCAGTCTAAAGTAAGTACTGATTGATGTATATTATACAGATATATAAAATATAATCATCTACAGAGGTGTTCATATGTTAATTAAACTGAAATCAGACAGATTGTTTGCGTATATACTACTTACGTTTGTGAAAACTCAAGTGTAAAATGTTGCATTTTATAATAATTCAAAATCGTATGACTTACTCAGTGATTTTCTGTTAAAGTAATGTTTTGATGACAATTAAACTTATGGACAGTTAAACGTTTAGTCCAAAATAAACCAACAAAAACTGTGTGTATTCTAAATTGCACTCATCAGTTAAGGTCATTAGTAAATCAACTGATGGATTAGAAAGTGACTATTGTAAAATTGATGAATGTTTTATGAGTAATAAATGAGGAAAGTGAAAATGTGTCAGTTCATTTGAAGAATTTTAGCTTGTAATACTCAGTTGACGTAATGAATACATGATATTCAGTTTAGGTTCTATAGAAAAACTGGGCAGCTGATCAGTTTCTTATTACTAGTATAGAACTCTCTAAGCGTGGGCAGTTATGAATATTTTATCTCTTTAGAAATCCAATGAGATTAATAATCCATCATAGCTTTGTTGGAGGTTGTTTAACAATGTAATGTTTCTAAAGTTGGTCTTGAACTCTCAGTTAGTTATGCCGATGACGGAATTCTATTTGCTGAGGACACTGACAAAAGAAGAGTTTTCTGACTACTCTAAGCAACAATGCAAGCATGTTCGAGATGCGATTCTTTCCGTCGAAATGCCAAATTTTGCTTCAGGATTGGCTTGTATCGGCACCTGAATAAGTGATAGGAAGTGAAGCAGTTGAGCGTGTTGACAGCTTCATATATCTCACCAGTGCTGATGGCCTGGTGTTGGAGGAAATCTCAGCACGGATAGAGAAGGCTCGATTGCCTTTTGCCAACTTGCGTCATTTATGGCATAGGCGAGATATTCGTTTGCTAACCAGAGGTCGAGTGTACTGCACAGTAGTTCGCTCCGTTCTCCTATATGGATGCGAAACATGGCCAATAAGAGTAGAGGACATTTGTAGGTTACTGGTATTCGATGATAGACGTCTTAGATACATTGCTCATGTATCATGGGACAAGCGAGTAAGAAATGCTATATTTGAGAATCCAGTTCTAGGTAGAGATGGCAAATCAATAGATGAAGTATTAAAACTCCATGATTTGAGGTGGTTGAGTCATATGTTACGAATGCCTGGCCACTGACTGCCTCGATGAGCTATGTTTTGTGGTGTGGGTTGGAAGAAAGCTAGGGGCACCCAAACCGAAACATGGCAGAAATCCATGAAGCCAGTGACAAGTGGATTGAGTCATGTTGGTTGTGGTCCTCAAGATTATAGTAACCAATGGTTAGAGACCTTGAAGGATATGGCTCAAAACCGTTTGCAATGACGCAGGTGCATCCATTCGTTGTGTTCTATGAAATTATCAACTGAATTTTCATCACCTCTACATTACTCCTTCTGAAGTTATCTCACTGGATTATACTTCTTCAATAATATCTTCAAACCCTAATCTACTCCATTACAGAAAATACTTCTACTATCTCTACCACTATGGGGTTTGAAGTGGCAATCGCGTCTGTGTGCTAATGCGTTATGGCAGACTAAACTGATGTACTTACGTAAGACTTTTGCGTTGTAACTGACTGACTGACTGTTGTATATTTGACGGAATCAAATCTCTTAATTCTAAAATTAATGTTCTTTACTTAACACCGTTAGAATTGATTTTGATACCAGTTAAACAACTCATCGGATTATGTCAAAAACTAAAATATAAGGTATCGTACAGTTTAAAGTTCAATGAAGCTTATTTTAAATCTTGTCAAGAATTTAAATTCAATGCAAATGATTTTATTATTAGTGGATCTAGTAAGATAAAAAGTATGTATGATTCAATTAGAATATTCAAAACTTAAATTACAAAATTCTGAAAATGAATACATATGATGATATTTTCAATAGACATTTATTCGGTAGATTGTATTCAAGTTATATTTTTAAAAGCATATTCAAATATTTGGATCTCAGTAGGAAAAACTAGAGAGCATTGCGTAGCTGCATTTCAGCAGTGAATATCCCTCACGTCACCAAACAGTCAAATCCGAAGCTTTTCGATTTGGTGATGAATGTTTCACTATTACACTACTGAGTTAGTACTCACTGTCACGGTGTCAATCATCCGATAACGTTGTGGGTGACTATTTCGCTTATCATACATTTCATGAATACAACCTACAAATTACACAATTACTACAAAACTTAACTAAAGTCAAATTACTGAGCTATCATAAATTCAAGATGATCAGTATAGTTGCAATTTGTATTAGTAATGACAGTTCTAGATTACTAAAGAATATCATTCTGTTCACTAATAAAGAGATGCTTTGGAGACGAGTATCAGAGAGAATGAAGCTCCAATCAATGCGCCTAGAGACAAAATAAAATTAACAATGATGTTTAGTCACCTAAACACGTGAAAATTAATTGTTATATGGTCAACAGAAATTGTTTAACACTGACAGATCAGTTAGTTAATGAGCTTTTGTCTATGATTAAAATATGAATAAAATTGATAACTGTGCAGCATTGCTTACTTACTTTAGCCTGTTACTTAAGTGGAGCATAGGCCGACGACCAGCATTCTCCAACCTACTTTGTCTTGAGCTTACTTTTCCAGTTCTGTCCAATTCTTGTCCATTATTCTAATGTATGTCTTCATTTCTCGGCGTACCGTGTTTTTTGGCCGTCCGCTTTTCGGTTGGCCTTGAGGATTCCAAGTGAGGGCTTGTCTTGTGAAGCAGTTGAGGGCTTACCTCAATATTTGCCCTATTTACTTCTAGTGCTTCTTCCAGATTTCTTTCTCCTTTGGAACATGGTCTGTTCTCCCCCACAGTAGGTTCTTACTAATGGTGTCTGGCCAACAGATCCTCAGTATTCTGCGTAGACAACTGTTAATGAGCATTAGTATCTTTTGGATGACAGCTTTCACAGTTCTCCAAGTTTCCGCCCAGATACAGTAGAACTATCTTGACATTTTGTATTGAAAATTCAACTGTGATGTAAAAGAACCTAGAAACTATTATGGTGCGCGCTACTTATAAGTAGTATATGACGCGAGTGTAAACGTAATGTCTGGCAGCAGAAGATGGGGGAAGATTAAGAAAGGAAGAGTGGGGGAACACAATGGAATTTGTATGAAATGCATGAATAAGTGAAATGTCAGACAATGGATTGATGATGGATTGAAGATTTGCAAATTAACCGTTTACGATATGGTTTTCATATTTTACTGAGTAACTCTGTAATTTTCGTTAAATACAATTTGGTTGTCCTCACCAGTGTTCTCCTTCACTACACTAACATTAAGGCAGTTTGATTAAATTTTAAAAAAAATCAACAGACAGAAATCAAAATATAATGGTCATGCTGTAATAAATTACTTATCATAAATAACATTTTTTAATTCTAATCAATAATCAAAAGATTTCGTTTACTGACTACATACAGTCCACCATCATTCAAACATTTTTTTTCGATTACTTTCTGATTGAACCGTATACAGATAAAGAAAAATATGACTTTTTAACGTCTCTTTTTTATATCGTATCCCCAAAATTTAATCATCTAAGCAAAATTATCATTATTTTCCGAATATTGGGAAAAAAAATCAAAGATATTTGTTTTGCTTTTTTTTTGTTGTGTATGTGACGTATATAATTGTTTTCATAAAAAAAAATAGGAAATAAATATATCATGAATAAATAAATAAGTACGTTATTTTAAAAAAAAACAATAACAGAATGATCATAAAACAACTTCAAGCTTAGTTTACATACAGCTAAGTGAATGCCCTTGAATAAACTACTTATGCGAGGCTGTAGTGATGGAAAACACAGGTGAGGGCAACCGAATTATATTTAGCGAAAATTACACAGTTACTCAGTAAAATAGGAAAACCATATCGTAAACGGTTAATTTACAAATCTTCAATCCATCATCAATCCATTGTCTGACATTTCACTGTTGTTCATGCGTTTCATACACAAATTCCATTGTGTTTCCACTCTTCCTTTCTTCTTGATCTTCCCCCATCTTCTACTGCCAGACATTACGTTTACACTCACGTCATATACTACTTATAAGTAGCGCGCACCACAAGGCTTTCGTAGTTTACACTATGTAGTGAATAACCACCATTGAAACTAAGAATCGGTGAGTGGATGTTTCGTCTTTGTACAGACTACTTGGTGGTAAGCATGCATGCTCATTGTGGGCCATCAAACAGAGGACTGTAAAGTCTGGTAGTTAGCGCTTAACTCTTAGATACTGAATCTGTATCCAATAGTTTTGATTATCTAAATCGAATGAATTCGTGATGTTGCATAATATCATGTATTATTGTCTTCAATAGATAATTATTTCAAAACCGACATAGTTCAACTTCACTATCACCGTCTTCTCACTAGAACTTCCATGATTACTGTTATGCTCATCACTGGGTATACTTGAAACTATCACGGGTTTAACTTAGTCAATAAACGAGAACGAAACAATAAACCAGCGTCCGCGTGAGCTACTTTGATCCGTTGACTAAAAGGAACTAACGAAAAGTCTTGATGTAACGTAGAAAGTATATTCTACAAACACCCAGCAAGCACACAATGGTGTTTATTTATACATCATAAAGACATCCTTGGGAGAGTCATAAAAATAACACACTAAAATAATACATTAACCAATCACAGCCAAGGATTTTCCTGGTGGGAAATGTGATCTCAAGGTCAGCTAGTCAGCCCATGCTCGGAAACATTAAATCCAAAATTAAAGCATTTATCAAGTGAGTTCTGGGGATCTAACGTCCCCAACAATTACTCATTAGAGTTAGTTACTAGTAACCACATGATTGTTATTAATAGAGAAAGTTTGAAGAAACTGTTAAATTTTCATAGTCAATTTGACGGACTAATTAATTCGAACTGAATAAATTATCATCAATCTTAACTGTCTGTACTCAAGTATAATGATAAAAAGCTTACACAGCTTTTTAGGACACTATATAATGTTCAACTCAAAACTAAGACACTCTATCGTAAAATGTGCTCACTGGTGTCTAGCTTCATGAGGAAATCCTCGGCGTTTTAGTGAGAAGACGTGACTAGTGGAGTTCAACCCTGTCGAGTGTAGGCAGTAACTGCCGGAGACAAATGAGTGAGGTTGCGCAAAATCTGTAGATCAATCAGAGTTAGACATTAACACCTTTGGACGCCGGCCCAGTGGTCCAGAGAATAGGCGATCGCGCACAATGCCGAAGGTCCCGGGTTCGAATCCTGCGAGGAGCAGGAGTTGTGGTTGCGCACTGCCACTGATGAGTCCCATACCAGTACGAGACGGCGGTCTTTCATTGATTCCAGTTTTCTAATGGTGGTCTTACAATGCTTGATCGATGATTTCAAGTGTGTAAAAACACTAATCTCCATAAGTCTAATTGAGAAAACACTCTACTCATTGTCTTTATTTTCGTTCTTGTCTATTTCCCTTTTGAAAAGAAACATTTTCATGCCCATCGATTATGCATAACATGTTTATTTCTTCATTCTGATCAAGGCGAATAAAAGATCATATGATGATCTAAGGTTATTTTAATCATGATTGATTTGTACCAAGTCAATGATATAAAATAATCATTACAGTAGTATAAAAGGAATTCAAATCAATGAATTTGTTTGATTGTCAACACCGTTCAATCATTTCAATTCAATAAGATTTAAAAAATCAATTTCTATAGATATATATATTTATTATTCTCATTAACAAAATTGATTAATGAATAGATATTGATTTTCGCGCCTCATATCATTTAATATCATTTAAACAAATTAAACAAGTTTAATGTAATTTTTCTGAAGATATAATGTATACTAATTTTTGTTGTGAGATTATTTATTTGAATGTGTTTTACACTATTTCAGATGTCCTGTCTTATTAATCACTGGTGGTTTAGCTTCACATCATAAAAAATGTCGTCAATTATTTGAAGATCTTGAAAAATTACGTCGTGATTCCGGTGGTCAATCAGCTTCAAGTGAATTTGTAATGATTGATGATGTATCAAATGTTTTAACTGAAAGAGTAAGTTTATGGAGGGTTTTCAAACTTTTTTTATTGACTATTGAACCAATTGGATTGTTCCGTTGTAGAAAATGTATAAAATTAGTAAATATGAACTGACAGTTGTATCTCTGTGTTGATGGGGTATGGCAACCTGAACCTATATACTCATGTACAAAGTTCTAACGTTGTAACTGACTGATTTCATTCTGTCATTAACTGGCTTCAGGTCCTCTAGTATGACAGTTTGAGGGCAGATCCAGCCGACAATGTATCACGAATAAAACAGAGGTAAAAGAATATTATAGTCTTTTAGTGACGAAAAACTATAAAATTTAAATTATTTGAGAGCGATGCATTACCGCAAAACAGTATATTCAGCCTGTATTTCTTTGCATGTTTAGATGAACGTATATAGAAAAAATAATGATTTTTAAACTACTTACAAAATGCCTCTAGTCATTTCATAAGAAAAAGTATTTATACATACATATATACAGAATCACGTGATTATAAATGGGTAAATTGCAAAAGTGATTTGTCAAAAACCCTGATTCAACAATAGCACCGATTCACATAAAAACAATAGGACGCCAGCTATTTTAAAATTCAAACTGAATATATATACATATTTATATTGTTTTAAAGAAAATCAAAGCCTATTAATTGCTAATCTGACAGGAACAATAATTTTTACATCTAATCATTATTGCATGCAGTGTTTGTTCCCATTTTTTCCTATGAATTTAAATAACTTAATTGAAGTACAGTAAATATGATTGCATTACATACATAGATTTGGTGGTTTCTCATTAGTTGCTCACAACCATGCATACATAATATGTAATACAGAGGAGTAATAATGATGTATGCTGCTAATCGTGTGAAGCAGTTGACTTGGATAATGGAAGGGATTAAATTGGCTAACAAGAATAATAATAATAACTACCTATTTGTATTTATAACTGGGAGTGAACAGAATTAAGATCAAATTGATGGTCAAATAAAAAAAAAAAGTATAAGTAAGGGTGTGTTTTAGGGACGTTAGATCACTAGAACTCAGTTGATGAAAACCCTAATTTTGGAATTTGTGTCTCCGTTCACGGACTGATCAGTTGACCTTGAGATTACATTTCCCATCAGGAAAATACTTGACTGTTTTTGGTTATAGTACACTATTTTCTTGGCTCTCCTAAAGATGTTTCTGTTATGCTGGTCAGTTTATATGCTTGAAACTATCACGAGTTCACCTTAGACGGTAAACGAGAACGATACAATGAACCAAGAGACACGGTAGGCTACTCTGATCCGTTGCCCCAAAAGAACTGACGAAAAGTCTTGATATAGCGTTGAAAGTGTATACTACAAACATCCAACAAAAAAATGATCTCAAGCACACAAATTGCACAAAAAAATAACACATCAATCAATCACAGCTAAGGATTTTTCCGGTAGGAACTGTGGTCTCTAGGTCAACTGATTAGCCTATCAATAAAATACAAAATTAAGGCCTTTATCAAGTGAGTTCCCCAACAGTTTCTATCATGTATAAATGAACTCAATTTGTGTGCTTGTCAACCTCATATTTTCTGGGTGCTTGTAGAATACACTTTCTATGTCTTGTCAAGACTTCTTCCTCTACTTATTGGAGCCTTAGGGCACTCGCGTCACTGGATCCTATGTCTTTGCTCTCGCTTACCGATTAAGGTGAACTCGTAATAATTTCAAGCAAATCATTTGATGAGCATAACAGGGAGAGAAGTCCGGAACTTGTTTTCTAGACTTAGTAATTGAAGGGTTACGTAACAAACAAGTAAGAATGATTTGAAGGGGGCTTACATAAGTTTTGATAAATGATTGCATGAAAAGATGATTTCGGTGTACATAAAGTAAGAATTAGTTCAGTGATTGATTGGTGATTTCATTGTGTAAAAACACTAATCTCCGTAACTCTAACTGGGAAATCGTAAAATGTGCTCACTAGTGACTAGCTTGGTGAGGAAATCCTCGGAGTTCTAGTGAGAGGACGTGACCAGTGGAATTCAATTCTGTCGGGTGTAGGCAGTAACTACCAATGACAAATGGGTGAGGATGCACAAAATATCTAGATCAATCGGAGGTAGACATTAACACCGTTGGATGCCGGTCCAGTGGTCCAGAGGTTAGGCTTTCGCGCGCAAGACCGGAGGTCCTGGGTTCGAATCGGGCTAGGTGCAGGAGTCGTGGATACGCACTGCTGATGTGTTCCATACCAGGACGAAACGGCCATCTTCCAGTGGTTCCAGTTTCCTAATGGTGGTCTAACAATCACAGATTTATTGATGATTCCAATGTGTAAATACAAATGAAACACTGAAAAAGTCAAGGTATCGCTAAGCTGATTACCATTGCTTTCTGAACGTGTAAATCAGGTTTAAATTTTTAATTACCATTACTTCGGAAAGAGACGTTGATTTTGAAGAATTGGAAAATGTCAACACTGTGTCTGATATCAATTAACTGGCAGATTGTTGCATTGTTTAGACTCTTTGCAACTCTTAGTCTCAAATTCTTATGAATGAATGTGAAATGCGAACATGTATCCTTCACTTTGTTGTTCCACTGGATGTGCTTTGGCATGTATATGCTAATTGGTGAATGCATTTAGAGGTATTGAAAAAAAGGACCTATCGATTTTTGTTTGTTTGAGCTTGCAGTATGTTTCATATAATGTTAGAAGTCTTGATATTGAGTAAGCAATTCTCAACTTGACCATTATTCTGTAATTAATAATTCCAGTAATTTCATCCTATTTTATTCTGATTTTTTTCTTTCTTTTACATTTAACATTTTAGCCGGATAAAGTGGTTGACAGTATGCAGTACTTTTTACAAGGAATTGGACTATGTAAGTTATATACACGAATATATAGATATATCTTACCCGTCGTTAATTCACGATGAAGTAAGTAGGTAGTGTAGAGTTTGACTATACAGGACGAATTAAAGTCAATAAGTGTTTTTATTGAAAACCTAGACATTTTGGGAGTAAATATTCAGTGTAATAATCTGTGAGCATTTTTACGTAAACGGAATCGACTTACATCGGCATTTTTATCATGACTCACAGCTCTGATGGTATGATCCTCAAGTAAGACAACGGGGTCTCATCATCAAAAAATTTCAAAATAGAACGAAATAGGTATTCATGATTCTTTCTTCTTTTCAGTGATTTTTCCATTACCAATAAGAGTTTAAATTGTGTGTTGAAATTCAAATCTGAATTTGAGTCTGTACTGATTCCATTTATAAAATTATTGTCATATATTTTTGCTTAAACGAATGGATTACGGCCAACTGTGGAGTAGAAGAGAGCAAGTTTTACTCTATTTGAGATTAATAAACTGTCTACATCTCATTCTTAGTATTGATGTTCTCGTACTAACACTAGATCCTGTAAGCTATTCATTGAGACATCAACTGATGATCCATTGCACTTTTTATTCAGTCAACAAAATGTTTATATAATTTCAAGTAAACACTATAATTATCTAACTGATGTCTCTGAAAGATTAAACGCTCTTACTTGATTATGATATTACCAACAAGAAAACTGATTCTTCAGTGAATCAGTGAATTATACAACTGTTAGGATATTCATCAAATATCCGAAGAGAATTATTTTCAGAAGTCTAACTCTATTGGTCAATTCCTACTGGTCAATATTATGGTCGTCTTAACTGTCAATGTCACAGACTTCAATGTTGTTTCCTATTTGACCTAATTTTATAAATACGCATTATCTGTAACGTTTTATGACTCGGACCCTGAGACGGATCCTTAGTCCAGAACCCTGATTCTCTTCTGGACTCGGACCTTGGACTTTCTGGATGCTTGTAGAATACATGTTCTACTTCATATCAAGTCTTCTTCTTTTACTCAATGGGTGTTTGAGACACTCGGATTAGAGTAGCCTATCATGTCACCGAATCCTCGATCCTCGCTCCCATTTCCCGACTAAGGTAAACTCATAATAGCTTAAGCATATCAATTGACGTGTTGACGTGCATTCGTAACAACAACACACTGTCTTGTAGTACAGAAAAATATTGTTTTTCTTTGCTTTTTAAACAAAAGACCGTTATTTTACTAGGTTGTTATTGATTAATCTTCTTAATAACAAGTAATATTTTAACCTGCAGTTATAAATATACAAATTTCGAATTATTTTGAAAAATACAAATATTCAGAAAATGATAAACAATGAGCATGTTTCAGACAGTAGATGATCAAAGAGCAACTGTGTACAAACTATTTAATCAAGCGAAAACAGACTGTGGCATACGTGAGGCACGAATAAATGAGTATCTTTAAAAAAAAACGACTATTCACATAACTTCATCGAAAATATCAACCTAATCCACTAGCCTAAGCGAAATCAAGTACAGGAACCAACAAAGAGGCTATCATTCCATATATAAAAGACATTTCGGAAATCGCAATATAATTACTGAAGCCGTTTTGAATACTTGTACCAAATAAACCAACAAAATCATTTCAATCAGTCCTCTATAAAGCAAAGGACATAATGACGAAGGTTAAAAAAAATCAAACATCATCGGAAAAATAAACTGCTCAGACTTTGGAAAGCACTACATAGGAAATGCTGAACTTCCTCTCCACCTTCGTCTACGTAAACAATAATTAGTGGTCAAGCGCCACGACATATATTCCCTTGTATCATACATGCGGACAATTATAGACATCCATTCTATCAGAAGAATGTTGAGATACTGCGGGGTAGAAATACGATGAACACTAGAGAATTTATCAAAGCTTGGAACTCAGGTTGATTGGCAATCAGCAAACAAATCGAAATCGATCCAATTTATAAACCATTCAGGAAATCATAGACAATCAAAGGATCAAGAACCAAATCGAAGAGGAATACAATCAAAATGAAAGGCAGACGATAATTGATTGAAGGGCCATGACAACCAAACAAGATTGAGGTTGACATGCCAGCCTACGCGTTAAGCATGAAGACACTTAAATACTTCACTTTTACTCGAATATGCTGAATATGCTGTTTAGGACAATGAAAGATCCACAACCAAACGAACGAGATTCCAAGATAGAATTATGTTTCATGTCTGTCATGTGAGGATGTTGCATAGAAACTATCTTGTTCTTTTTATTCACAGAAAATACTTAGCTGAATTATTTAAAATTATAGAAAACAGTCAGGTTTCTTTAGAATATTAGTTTAATGAATAAACATAAACAGAACTGAGTCTAGTGGACAATCGTTTATGAAACAATCATATCATTGTAATGAGTATTCATCCTGTTGGGTATGAAGCCGTTAACCGCCGAAGAAAATGACTGAGGTAGCACAATATCCGTGGATTATTTGAAATCACAGATTAAAACCGTTGCATATAGGTTCAGTGTTATAGAGGTTAGGAGTTTGCGCTCGAAAACGAAGGTTCCAAGTTCTATTTCAGCAAGCAGGGTCGTGGATGCGCACTACGGGTGAATTGAACGAATGTTGATCAGACAAATTTTATCAGAGATTAACATCACCGAAACCTAGAAAACGTTGCAGTTCAATCATGTTAACAAACGAAATATGTATCAACAATAATTCCGTAATATTGTTCCATTTGAACTTCATCTAAATGACCTAAAATTATCATGCAATATAAGATAGATACTAGAAGGTCTTGATGTAGAATACATGTAAAGTCGCCAGCAACTTATTTAACTGAAGCTTTTGATCAGTATTACTGATTCAATCACTTGTTCATTATCGTTTCATTCACATATATATAAACCATACACCTAAATAATGATTATTTTCAAACCAAATACACCGCTCATGCTATTTGTTAAATGATATGATCTTTCTCATATTATTTATGACAAATGTCTTTCATGTCAGCACTGAAATTAAACAGATGGTTTCGGCGAATTTTACAAAAGAAATAAAAAAGAATATCACTCTGACTGGATTGCATTTTATTATCTTATCTAATTTGCTAAACCAACTGTGTAGTATATGAATGTTATGGATACATGTAAGCACGTCATTCGATATAATTGAACTATTACGAGTCTACCATTTGTTGGGAAACGAGAGCGAGGATCGAGGATCCGGCGACACGACATATTACTCTAACTTGATTGTCCTAAACCCCTATTGAGTAAAAGAAGAAGACTTGATATGAAGTAGAACATGTATTCTACAAGCATCCAGAAGGTACGAGATGCGAGTCCAGAAGATAATCAGGATTCTGGACTAAGGATCCGTCTCCGGGTCAAGGTCGTAAAACGTTACAGATAATGCGTGTTTATACATTTAGGTCGAATAGGAAACAACATTGAAGTCTGTGACATTGACAGTTAGGACGACTATAATAGTGACCAGTAGGAATTGACCAATAGAATTAGACTTACAAAAATAATTCTCTTCGGATATTTGTTGAATATCTTAACAATATAAAAACATGAAATAATTTTTTTTCACGAAATGAACTTAGTTAGACAACTATTTTACAGCGCCAGTCCATCCAAGTATAGGTCTCCTCAACAGTGTGCATTCACGACCCGACCGTTGGTTGAATCCAGGAGCAAGAAACATAGCACTAATCGATCATTTCCTTAAATCCTCTGTATTTACATAGATATACACCATAAATCTGATCATTTACCTTCCAAAATTACGCCACTGTTCTTCTGACAAATGTTTGTTGTTTTAAAAATAACTGAGTGATAAGTTGACATTTTTACACATTTCATTCATGAAATGCACTTACCCTATGTGATTTCCCAATCCCTAAAACCGCTCTGATGCCTTCCCATTTATTTCATTTCAATTTTTTTGTTTTGTTTGTTTCGCTAGTAAGCAATTTGAAATTACAGAAAACACCAATGCAATTAAATCGTCGTATGTCAATGGAAGATTATGATCGACCGCTGGGGAAAACACATTTTGTCAGTCGATTATCACAACAAGTACCGGAAGAGAATACCACATGATGCGACAGAGAGAGAGAGAGAGAGCGAAAACATATACTAACAATAATAAGCAGCAGCAGCAATGTATTTCTTGTTTACTTCAGTACACATTTTGAGTGTGTCTGTTGATTTATCGTTCTTTCTTCTCCTTCTTCTTCTCCGACAGACAGCATGACTAGATGTATTTTTCCTGTTTCTCATTTCTTGTTTTGATTTTGTGTTCTTTTTTTTTTGCATGTTCCAAATAAAATTTAAATGGTAAGCAGTTGATTTCGTTTATTTTTTTTCTGTCTCCAATTTCATTTCTACTTGTGTGTGTGTGTGTGTGTATTGGTTGATGAAATCATCTTTAACAACAAGAAAAAAACATACAAAAGTCTGTTGTAACAAAGGATACTCTGTGTATTTTTTTTTAAGATTAATGATTACACTACTACTAATACTACTATTACTACTACAAGTACGACTACTACATACATACATATATAAATATATATATAGTACTGTCATTGTTAATTGTAGTACGCTCCCAAAACCCCCCTGCCCACCCGAACAACTCTTATTCAACATGTACAACAACAGAACATTGTATAACAGTGTCATGATAAAAGAAATGTAATGCTTTGAATAAAAATTTTTTTTGGTATAGTACGAAAGAAGTTGAATTATGCACAAATAAAATGTAAACTAGAACATCATTGTCACATACCCTTCACAGATAATGTGATCAATTCCTCTCTCTGTTCTTTTTACTGTTCGGGTTGGATTCAACTTGAATGATTAAGTATAATCATTGTATTGCTTCTTATGATCATTTTAATCATTATTATTATTACCATTATTATTACTATTATTATTATTATAATCATTACTTACCTAATTTGTCCTCTCCCATTGTTTTACCCCATGTAATCTTCACTTGCAATCAACCCACCTCGTATTTTAATTAATATTTGCAAAGTTGATGAAAAACACACTTAGTATTTGAATTTGTTTGTTAATCTGTAATGTAATTTTCATTTAGTAGTATGATTTTTTTTTCTTAGTCAAATGAAATTCATGTAAAAGTATTAAAAGTACACATGAAAGTAAGTATATATATATATATTTATATTTATATATAAATATTAATAATTCATATGTCTAATTCTATTTTCTTCTTTTTCGAGAATAAAATAAATTAGATTGAATTGGTTAACTGAATAATTTTCAAATAATGAATTCAGTCAGAGAGTTTTTCATCAGCATACATTGAGCAATAATACAAAACAGAAAAAGAAGCTTGTAAAATGTCTTTCTCTGTTCAAATTCAAAAATTATTGATAATGTAAACTTCACAATTCAACATGAGATTGAACATTGAACTTGGTAGTTTATTTAAACATCATGGTTAATCCATTATTTTCAACTTAGACCGACTCACAATACAGTATAACTATTCTCGAATGTTACTGATAAATAAACACCTCACTGTAAACTGAAATCAATCTGAAGATTAACAGAAACCATAGGTAATGGGATCGTTGCTCTGTTCCTGTTGGTGTCTTTACACTGTCGATTTACACTGCCAGATTTATGCAAATTATTGTTAAGCGAATAAGTTATTATCTAATAATCTATATATAATTTTGAGATGGTGGATAAAATTTGTAGCTCAGGTGGATGATTGTGGTGATGGTGTTTCGTTCCTTGTGAAGCTTTGATTGTTCTACTGCTCTGAACAACAACATCATCAGCACAAACTTCAGATAGCAGAAGTGAAGTATTCGAATTTCTCCACGTTTGACCAGTAGCTTTTTCTGTTAACCAAGCTTTAGAAGCTTGACAGTCAGGTCAATCAGCAATCAACAAACACATCGAGATTGATCCAAATTATCAACCAATAGGAAAAATCATGGACAAGTGTTGGATCAAGAAATCGATCAAAATGGTGGATACAATCAAAACAAAGGTGCAGAAAACGACAGGTTTAAGGTCAACGGCAATGTGAAATTCGTACTGATGATGTTGTTCAGCAGAAGAACAATGAAAACATCCAGTTCAGAGGACTAAAGACCACCACAACAACCTACATCTTCTAGTTTATCCAAAATTTTAAGTGATACTTATTGATTACTTAAACCGTATACGTTAAGCTTGAACAAATATTGATTTCAAATAAATTAGCCAACAAATAATATATCCTATGATAAACGTGATTAAGTCGGAAAGAAATTCTAAAGCTTAGTCTACAACTTTCTACTTATCCTTAAACAAAAAATACTCAACACAGAACAAGTATAATGTAGGTAGATTTATTGTTCAAAGTAACTAGTTATTTAGCTGATTACTGACGCTACCTACAGTAACAGATATCCAACTATCAGTGATAGAAAAAAGCAATTTTATGCATCATCTAATCGCTCATACCCTCTGTCATATGATACAACTTTGTTCATTCATTATTACCAAATTGCTAAAAAGTAGCCACTAAGCTTGACCAAAATTAAGAATAGATATTTTTTAAGGCCGAGGAACATATTACGCCAAGGAATAGAGAAAGACATGAGAAGAATGAACAAAAATTGGACAGAATTGGAAAGGGAAGTCCAGGACAGTGTTGGTTGGAGAAAACTGGTCGGCGGCCTATGCTCCATTGAAGGTAACAGGCGAAAGTAATGATCGTCAATCAATCACACATATACTGCTTGATGTCGGTGTTACTCATGAAAATCTATATTCCTAATAAAAACTACTGTAATTTTTCCATATTAAGTATAAGACAGATAAAAACTATGAATAGTGTGCATTGACTGACAATGGCAAATAAATATGACGAAGGTAAAATAGATTACAGGGATCTGTGAAGCTGCTTAACTAGATTCCTGACATGTTTACAGAGCTGAGCTGCCAAGAGTTATATTTTACGAGGAAACAACAAGTCTAAGCTTTATAGTTATTGACAAGAATCCAGTGCAAGATGTCAAGTGTCTTTAAACTGAAACATAAATGCTGTGCTTCAGTCAAACTAAAACTTAATATCGAAATACTTTTCATAATCTTTCTTAACTGATATAAGATTTTGAATAATCGTTGAATGGTATTTGTTTATTCTGATAAAGCATTTGTTTATTCAAGCTTCTCTAACATGCTTTGAATCAGTTTGGAAATAAATTTCAGCTAATTGTTCAAAAGTTTAGTCATCTCTATTTTAAGATTAGTCAAATCAAGCAATTATTTCCCCAAGTAAGGATTATGCATATCAGCTATACACGAAGCAAAGTTATAACAGCATTCAAAAATAATTTAAGCTTAGATTAATGATCAGCTTTCAATATCTAGTAAGAATTTTGTTTATCTGTTTGTTTGTTTGTTTCTATTTGTGACATCGAATTGAACCCTATTAGGTTTAAATTCAAATCTGATAGTTTACATTTGTAACCGTTTTAGGTTTGTAGCTAATTCCTAATTCAACCACTCAATAGGAAGAATGCAACTTTATTGGAAACCGTTCTTTTCAGCTACAAGTCTTTCTAAAGATTCCCATTGTGAAAATCAGAACAACACATATAAGCGAACAATATTGTTTTCGATTAGATCGTCATCCGGCTTTATTATATTAGAGTAAAGCCTGATGACGATCTAATCGAAAACAATATTGTTCACTTATATGTGTTGTACAGATCTTTCTGCATGTTGAGTTACTTAGAAATTTTGGGCCGATTAATGTTAGATTATCATTAGAAACCTGGAATCACTGGACGGTCGTTTCGTCCTAATATGATGAGACTCATCATCAGTGACTAGCTCCTTGAGGAAGTTTCTCTGAGTTCTAGTGAGGAATTGTGATCGGCGGAATTCAACCCCGTTTGGGTGTGAAGCATTGTTCACTGAAGATACTGAATAAGGTAGTGCGAGGCTGTGAACTGATCGAGGTTAAACATTAACACCGTAAATATACCAGTTCAGTTGTCCACAAGTTTAGCGTTCATGCGCAGGACTGACGATCTTCGATTCCTGCGAGTAGCGGGAGTCGTTGATGTAATCTGCTGACAAGTCCCATACCATACTGATTCCAGGTTTCCAAATAGTAGTCTAACATTGATCGATTCATAATTTCAAAATAATTTAATTGACAAATATGAATCACTGCTTTGAATTAGATAAAATATAAATGAAAATGTTTATTTACTTCGGTTGTCAATGGATCTTGCAAACTAACAAATAAAAGGGAAATCTTTTTCAAAATTTACTGTAAATCATACCAATAAAAGATCTTATTGGTATACTACAAAAATGAAAAAGAAATCTACTTTCCATTAAGCAGAAAGTGTAATGATTGTGAATAAAGCTAAAGTTAGTTTGAATGAAAAGTCAACAATAGGTTAACTTAACAACACAGATGACTGAAATATTGGGAGAAAAAAAAATAGTGAGGAGGAATAACTTTTAGGGCTATCTTAAGGAGGATTATTATCGATAATTTTACTGTTTAATCTAGTAGACGCCTACAATGTTATATTTACATATATTTTCCTGTGCCTAAGATTTTGTTTCATTTATAAACAGTCATCATCTGTCCAGTGCTTCTAGATTTCCAGTGGTGGTCTAACAATGATTTATTGATGATTTCAAATGTGTAAAAACACTAATCTCCATAACTCTAATAGAAAATATCATAATATATGCTCACTAGTGGCTAGCTTCATGAGGAAATTCTCAGAGTTCTAGTGAGAAGACATGACCAGTGGAGTTCAACCCTGTCGAGTGTAGGCACTAACTACCAAAGGCAAATGGGTGAGGTCGCGCAAAATCCCTAGATCAATCAGAGTTAGACAATAATACCGTTAGATGCCGGTCCAGTGGTCCAGAGGTTAGGCGCTCGCGCACAAGACCGAAGTTATCGGGTTCGAATCGTGCGAGGTGCAGGGGTCGTGGTTACGCACTACTGATGATTTCCATACCAGGATGAAACGGCCATCTTTCAGTGCTTCCAGGTTTCTAACGGTGTCTAATATTGACCGATTCATGATTTCAAATGTGTAACTTAAAAATCTTTTACAAAGTGTCTTGATTCATTGTTCAAATTTATCATTCATTTATATTCTTGAATGTTGTAACATTGTTTTTTTTTCTCAGTCATGTGACTGATTTTCTACAGTAAAACTTTTTCCACTAAAGCATAATTACAAAAATACAGAAAAATGTCCAATCTCCTATCACGAAAGTTTACTAATCCACTAACGCAATAATCCATTTCTCCAAAAAACATTATCCTTAAACATATATACTACTGACTAGTAAATAGGTATTTAAAAATGTCAAAAACATATCATCCTGTCAATGACAGTCGATGAAACACTGTCAAATAAAATATGCACTTGATAGGTAAAATTAATTTACTTAGTTAAAAAAAAATATTTGCCATTTCAATCATTACTTTCGATAATCTTAAAAACAGACAAGAAAATTGCTGTTTGACCATGTGACTGTGACGCCTTTCAATTGATGATTGCATGTCGTGATAAAATGACAGGGTAACTTATTGAAGAATACAGATTATATAACTCGCCATAAGAATAGAATATGAAATCTTAACAGGGAACAGTTGAATGATTGAAATTTTTTCGAAGTATGTAGACATAGAAAAAAGTTAGGAGAACACATATCTACTTTTTAGATGATAGAATTATCCATGTAAACACCTTGTTTTTTAATGATAATAGTGAATATACTCATATCACATTAGGGGAAAAAAATGAAGGATAGATAGTTGAAGTAACTTGATCATAGAGGAATACAAATTTACTGGATAATGGAAAAAGTAGAAGAGAAACATTGATTTGCCATCTTCTTCTTCTTCTTCTTCCCAATGTTTTTATTGTTCAAACGGATTTTATACCTATCAGGAAATATGAGATATTGAAGAAATAACTATTTTAACAGAAATATCAGAAAAAAAAACTCTAAATGTATATTCCATTAGAGAATATCTAATTCAGACGTAAAATAACTTCTTGGATAAGCGAACTGGTATATTAAGACCTTATACATATTGAGATGGTGGAGAAAATTTGTAGCTCAGGTGGATGATCGTGGTGGTGGGGTTT